TAAAATTTCTGCCCACCGCCCTTAGCGGTTTTTCTGGACTCGAGTACCTTTTTCCCACCCACACACACAGTTGAGCGTTTGTCGACAGGGTGGTCGCTTCTCAACGCACAATCAATGAAGGTTGCCTCTCATAAATGTTTGCCATTAAAAAGTAAAATAAATGTATATAGGTTTATGTATGTGTTAATTTATTGTTGAAGATAAGTAAAGTGTTTTATCGTAGAACAGTGTTTCTTTACCAATAAAACTCCTTTCTAAGAAGAAGCACAGGAAATACGAGCAGTTCCCTAAACGAAAGTTTTAGGGCCCCTTTAAAGTGTAGTGCTGCTACAGGTCGACCATGTTTGAGGACAGATTAATAAACATAGCATTACTGAATGCGTTTAATATTGATTTGCAATCTGTAATAGACAAATTTAAGACCATAAGAAGTAGAATAATTATTTTGTAAAAGCATTTAGAATTATAAGGTATAACTAAATTATTTAGTATTATACAGGGTGTCCCAATGAAGAGTAGCCCATTTCCAGAACTTATAACTTTTAAACAAATCGTAGAAACGTGCGGTTTTTGCTGATATGTGTTATTTTGCTATAAGTTTTGCTTCAGTGACACAGGGTGTTTTTTAAAAATCTCTTTTAAATTCACTATAACCAAATTTTATCAAATGGAAACGGGCTACTTTTCATTGGGACACTCTGTATATAATAAATTCTATTTATTTTTGTTTATTATTTAGAATATTATGATCTGTCTTAACTCGATTATTCTTATTTTTGAGTTTTTTTTTTTTTTCATTACATTTTATAATACAAAGTGTATTTTTAATATTAATAATTTTGACTAAAAATTGTAAACGAAACATCACACAAAATTATCATATCATTCTAATAAATTCGAGGTAAAACGGCTTAAAGAAACATAACACTTACGTTTTAATTACTACTAAATTTTCTTAAGTTCTTTATACGCCCATTATATACTGACTTTTTTAGTTATTAATAGCTTAATGATATTACTGGTACATAATCTGTAATTCTGTATTTTAATCGTCTAATTTGCCAATTTTTTAGGTTTTTAATTTTTCATTTCTTCAAAAATAATTTAATTTTCATGAAATTTGGTGAAATTATACCTTTGTATGTCTTAAATAAGCAAAAAAAAAATACGTGTGGCACTCGGGGACTGCCGCGGTAAAGCTATTGCATAGCATTTTTTATCAACTTATGCAATTATAATTATTTATTTATTTTATTTATGCAGTATTTTTTTTTCTTTGATATTAATTCGAGTTTTTTCTTTGATATTAATTCAAGTTACACTTTTTGAGCGTGGTGACCGATAAGAAAACATTTTTTTTTCTTTTATTGAATAAATGAGAAGTTAATATTGTTTAAAATATTTTTATTATCTTACAATACATGTAGGTTCTTCAGGAATTTTTATCATTGAAACTATAGGTTTATGGTAACTGAAATAAGAAACATAAGTTTGAGACTTGATATCCTCTAAATATCTGGAAAATACCGCGTCAATGGTGGTCCCATATTTTGTTGTGGATTCTTGTGGATCATTATTCATTTTCGAATTCAATTTTTCCGAAATTGTGTCTAAAAGAGATAGAATCAGTTATGAGCAGTTAGCAGCTAGTCTACACGCATACGTCTAGTCGCACGCACACAAACACCGTGCCGAAGTCTGCCGAACTGAAACGACGTTAGACGATTCACGGCTTTCAACGCCGCACCGCTGTGCCGGTCGGAGTGGGGGGTGTTAGGTTTATTTTCGTTACGGAATTTCTTTTTCGATTTTTCGATTTTCTTTTATTGAATAAATGAGAAGTTAATATTGTTTAACGCCGCACCGCTGTACCGGTCGGAATGGGGGGTGTTGAGTTTTTTTTTTTTTCGTTACGGTGTTACGGAATTTGTTGATTCGGTCGCCGAGCTCAAATCCCGCGATAAAAGCTATGCAATAGCTTAAAAATCAAAATTAAAAATATTTCGCTCAAAAACTAGAGAAAACAAAAAACTACAGTAGCAACAATGATTTATTCCTAAATTATTGTTATAATTAGTTTCAATTTAAAATAAAATACAAACTGATAGCACCATAGAATTGTATGGAAAAAATATATAAAATAAACTGTTTCTATTTTTTGACCGGAATTCTTAATTTTCTATATATAACATTGCTTTAAACATTTAAGTAGAACGATTAAAGTATAATTTATAACCACCGTAACGTAACTTAACTTAACGCCGTAGAAACTTAACCTAAGATATAAAAATAAAGTCTATTTAAATATCCGTAACGTAAGAAATGAGCAAGCGTGTTGATTTCAGAGATTATCAAATTACTGACAACCTTATGAAATAAACAAGTGTAAACTATGTACTTAACCTCTAAATAAAACTTATAAATTATGATTTTGCTACATAGAAAGAATATATTAACTACTTTAAAAGCAATAATATAAAAATATAATAAGATGTTGATTGTTTTTGAGAAATAATGAGAATTTAATATTTCCTAACAAACTAGTTTTGTGTCTTATTTCAGTTCTAGACTTGATGTTTATAGGTATATGCAGCAACACTCATATCTTATAAATAGTTTATCCCCAATAACATAAACACAAATCATTCATGATAATGTATATCAATCAAAAAGGAAAATGATAGTTTACAAATGGTATTTGTCTATTCATTTATAAAAAAAAATAAAAAGAGAATAATTGACAGTTATCACATGCTGAACTCAGAATCATCTCATTGGCTAACCGTAAGGTCTTAAGTTATGTTAAGTTGTTAAGTTAAAAGTTGGTGAACTTTCTACGGTACGTTAAGTTCTTAAGTTACGTTACGAAACATTATAAATAAGTATACGTAAATTCAATATTTCCACTTCTTACGTTAAGTTCTTAAGTTACGTTACGGCGGTTATAAATTAAGCTTAAGATTCAGACAAATACATTTTTTAGTCGTGAGTTTTAAATTTTAAAGCGCTGCGTGTCATATCAAAGTCTTGTTAACATTTTTTTATTTATTTAATTTGAGTTGACAAATGGTAGCAGGTATATAATAATTGATGGAATTTATTTTAACAACATTAAGATGGATGCAGTAGCGGGTCTAAGATAATTCACAACGAAAGCCGAAAATTATTTCAAACGATGAAAAATAGATGGTCTGTAGCGTATATGAAGGTTTAATAAATACACTTCCGACAATGCAAGCCTTGGACCGTTGTTCATTTTTAACGAGAGTATCCGTGGCGACAATTGAACGCATTGTACATGAAAAGAAAGTGACTGGGACTGTGCAAGCTTCTAAAGTAAATTGCCGTGGTCGAAAAAAAAATTAAATTGGACGAGCACCAGAAAAATATGTTACACACAATTATTTTTTTTTTTTTGAAAACAAATAGTCAACCATGAAATACGTTAGAAGGAAATTATTGGATAATGATCTCGTTCTACAAATGAGCAAAAAGACATTAAGAAAAATAGTACACGAATTAAAGTTTCGATAAGCAAGACGATCTCGTAACTCTGTTGTAATAGAAAGACAAGAGATGGCGACGAAAATATCTTCGCTTTATAAGGGAACATCGTTCGGCAAACAAGGCAATATATTATCTGGATGAAACATGGGTGAATGCTGGTCACACAGTATCTAAGATCCGGCAAAATACTATGACAAGCATTTGTGGAAAGTCTATCAACAGAATTAAGAGGACCAACTGGAAAAGGTCAACGACTAATTGTCGTCCATATAGGTAGTGAAAGTGGTTTTTTAAACGACAGTGCCTTAATTTTTTTATCTAAAAAAAACGGGGAATTATCAGGTTGGTTGGAAACCCTACTTTCACGGTTCGAGCCAAATTCAGTGATAGTGCTTGATAACGCTCCTTATCACAGCCGCTTAGTGGAACGTCTACCCGCTATGGCCACTAAAAATCGGTGATGCAAGGTTGGTTGCGACAAAAGGTAATTCCCTTTTCTGAGGACATGGTTAAAGGGGAGCTTATAACCATAATTAAACAGCATCGAGACAGATATCGTCAGCATGTTGTAGATACATTGGCTCTTGCTCGAGGTATAACCGTATTAAGACTTCCTCCATACCATTGCGAATTGAATCCAATAGAACTTATTTCGGCTCAAGTAAAGGATTACGTAACTCGTGAAAACGTGACAATTAAAATTAGCGACGTCCAACGTTAACTGGAAATTGGAATGGCACGAATACGGAAAGAAGATTGGACAAATGCCGTAACACACGTCATCAAGGAAGAAGACAAAATGTGGAGATTGGATGGGATGGTGAAGAATATAATCGAAAAGGTGGCGGTAGAATTCAATGTCTCAGAGGATTCCAGTTCTGAGGACTCTTCAGCATAAATCAATATTTTTTATTTTATTCTTGATTACTGGTTTATATGTGATACGTGCAAGTATATTTATTTTTTTTTTTTATTTATCTGATGTAATAAATAATCTAACAATTGCTAAATTATTTAAGTTTTTTTTTTAACTTTAAATTTATTGATTATTAGAAGGCCATACTTTTTTAATTCCTATCAATATTTTAAATTACATTTTGTTCTGTATTTAAATTTAAATGCACTTTTTATTTTCCCTGTATACCATTAAATATTTTACAAATTTTATTCTTTTTTTGTAAAATTAATACTAAAAAATTCCCATTTCTTGTCAACTTTTTCAGACATTTCATACAAAGTAGATTAAACAATATTTAACGTAAATCAATAAAATCGTGTCAATGAAAGCTTATTCAATATTAGCATAATATCGCGAATCATTGTTACGCCGCTGCATAGGAGGATTATGGGTAATTCTAGAAATACATTGTCACCATCAATTAAAAACTGTAATAGTATATACAGATGTTTGAAAAATAATTTGAAATGTTAAAATGTATATGTGAATTAAATGTCTAATAATAAAAAAATAGGTAGCAAATATGAGTACTCACCTCTCCTAACATCGCAAGGTGTCCAAGTTATGTCGTTATGACTGACAGGGTTGCCGTGTTGTGGTGCCGACGAAGAGCCTTGTTCCATGCTGACTTCACCCTCGTTTTCAAAATCTCTGTCGACATTTTCGGAATTTGGTAGACAGTTCGCTATCATAATCGCCCTAAAATTACAATTTGATTTAATACAATTAAGAATATTGCTGCAAGAAGAGGCAGCTCAATTTTTGGTAAAATTTTCGTTGTTTTATTTACTCTATGTAAAAAATTAAGTTTAATCAATTGGTGTAAGAAACAGGCTGCTGCAATATTAAATGGCAAAAATATTAAACTTTTTGGACTTGCCTCCATAAATGTTTGGTGCAAGAAGGGTGCAGTCCGGACCTGCGCCTTCCTGTATAAGAAAAAAATGTCTTTTATGTTTCAAAGTTTTTTTGCTTTTTCAGGGACCAATTAGAGGGGGCATTTTGACTCAATACATTTTCTAGAACAAGATTTATTTCATTAGCGCTAAAAGAGAATTCATATTGTTTTTTTTTTCTTAAATTTGTATAATGTATTTTTGTATTTATTAATAAATTTTGGACGTGGCTTAAATTTTTTTACAACGCCCAAATTTTGCCTCTGCCCCCAATAAATTCTCGAAACAACGCCCATGCTATTAAAAGATGTCTATTTACTTTGTTTTTAAGCTAAACTTCTTTCCTAGTGGTTAACAATATTTCATTATTTATACTTCTCCTCAAAATGTATTTTTACAAATTAATCCAAAAAATTGTCAGTTAGTATTTTTGGGAAACATAATAAGATTGTGAAAGATGTAAGCTTTTGGGGGTTCGGCTTGTATGGGCTGTAGTTATGCACATGGAGAAGAACTTCTTGACCAGGAAAATCAAACACTGATGAACGGTACATTGATATAATTGTTATGAACAATTACACATTTATGTTCATTTAGTAATCAAAATAAGTAAAAAATAAGTTGTAGAATGACGATAGATAGTGAATTATCACCCCGTGATATATAAATTTATGGATGCTGAGTGATTAAATATGCAAAAAAAGAAAAAACTATTGCCTTGTTCCTTTCCATTATATTGTTTTAAATACCAACTTAATTGGTAAATAAAATGTACTGATGTAAACTCTGTCGTTTACACATTATATAAGGCTAGATTTATGCTGTTATTTCATTTGAGGTAAGGTACCAGACTAGAACTTATTTTAATTAATTTTGGTTCCATTTTACTTAATTTAATTGAATTTTTCCAATATTGTATTTCTTTTTTTATGCAAATAATATAAACAAAAATAAATAAATAAATTAATTAATTAAAACTGTCATCTTTGGGAAGTTTAATGTTATAACTATACGTTAAAGCTCATTAGTCAAAGTAATTATTCTATATTTACCTTATGGAACTAGCATTTCTATTGTAAAACCTAAACAGACAATGAGTAATTGGAACTAGTTCGGATTCAGCCTCTTGAGAAGCCCTATTGAGCCAAAGATGAGAAGTACTGACCAAATGAGCCAACCAGTGTAAATCACCTGACAGCAAATATTGGTCGCTGTACCAAGTACCAAAAATGTCGTATGGCTTATTCACTACACGACATTGCAGTTCAAAATGACCTAAAACGTAATTTAAACTTTATATTTATAGTAAGAAGAAAAAAATTGTAGGTAAGTGTTAAATTAAGTTGACAAAAAAAAAAATATTAAACTTTTTTTTTTAAATTGTCATCCCAATCTTCGAAGTTGTTTACTTACTTAAATTGAAAACAGCTATTTCTCCGGAAGTACTGTGAGTGGTACCAAAATGTACTCCAGATACAAGTAGCAAAGTATCAGATTCATTAAATTGTGAGTTCTGAGTGTATTTCCATTTAAAATGTTTCATATTTCTAATGTATTTTATTTTTGCAGGATACTTAGATCTCCAAAGCTGTAAAAATGTAAAAACAAAAATAATTTTTTTCATTATAATATTTTTATTTTAAATTTTTAACATTAATTTGGAAACTAGAAACAGTCAATTTAATTAATTTGATTTGATTTGAAATGTATCTCCCATTATTGACATCATATAAACTACTCTCCAAAATTAATGCACCACCTTAAATGTACCATAAGTTTGAAGCTATTTTTCTTCTGAACTGTTGATTGGATTTCAATGATTTTTTTTCACATTATAGGTCTATTTCTAAGGAATTACTGTACCAATGTTTTCTGGAAAATGACAACGTTTTACCCATATAAAGAGTGTAAAGATAAATTTGTGTTTTTTTCATCTTATTTTGCAACACCCTGTGGAATTTATTAAAAACAAACGCTACATTTTATTAATATTGCGAGATAGTTTCATCTTTTCTCAACATTTTCGTAAAGAAATAATCTTTATATCTCTATTATCAAAGATTATATACACAACTTTAAGTGTAACAAGTATTATGGACATTTTAGAGAGTAGTGTATATTTTTTTACTGCACTAGAGCATTTTAAATTTAATGAGAAAAAATGGGTTGACTGACTACGGTCGATGTCCTGATGGGTATAGTAATGTTTATTATTATTATTTATAAAAAAAAATCTTAATGGGCCATGTTCACATGTGAGATATGCTGTTTTATAAACTATATTGTAATAGTTAGTCGCTATACAAGTTATTCTAAATAATCAGTTCGTTAAAAAAGCTAAAAGTTTTTAAATTAAGCCCAATTGAAATTTAAAATTTGAAATTATACGTCATCGGGAATAGACCAATCAGCTTGTGTCGAAGTTTTTTTTGTTATACAAAACCAAGCCAACGAACAAACCTACATACAGAATGTCGAAGTGAACGCACATCTAAGTGACATTAAAAATTGACAGCACCTAACAACTAACCTTAGTTTTTTGTTTTGGTTTAATTTTATTATTAATCTGAATTTATCTGGGTAAATTATCCTGTGGGATATAGGATATATAAAGGAAGAAGAATATGAATTTATCAGCTGTATTTATAAAAGTTGAATCAAGTATTTTTCCCATTGTAAACGAAAATATGATTACCGAGATGATTACTGCATTTTTTAACAATACTCAGTTTACAAAAGATAGAAAGGTAAAACTTTATTTATAAATTGTTTTAATGGTAGGTAGTTACAGTTTATATGAAGCAATACACTTTATAGTAAAACATATTTATCTCAGGTTTTATTTTTAGATCTGCCAAGCAAGAATATGGAGATATTTACTTTTTCCATAAGAGAGAAGGAGACAAATTACACCTAAACATAAAGTACAACAAAAACCTTATGATGTGGCTGTTGTATTTAACAAAAATGAAATTTTTAGTGCACAATTCTTAGGATATGTTGAATCTCAAGGTTTGTAATATTTATTATGCTTTTTTGTTTTTATATCACATATAATAAACAGTGTATAAGGCCCTTTATTCCTATAAATATTTTTTTTCTAATTTTGACATAAAGAGACATTTTTTGTAATCGCAGCAAGTGTTAAAATAATCTAGAAATAGATTTTGTTAGTGAACCTAGTAATAATTATGATACCAAAGAATGCTGCAGAGCACCTATGAAATTTTGAGTTAAAACATGCCATATTTTTAGGCTATTTTTATACCCTTTTCAAAAATATTATGCTCCTCGTTTTATGCAAAACTTAAAATGCTCTGATAGCTTCGAACGAAGTCAGCAAAGCACCTCTGTTTTATAAAGTTTTTTCTGTAAAAACAGCAACACCATATATTTATGCACTTGAAATATTATATTTTTAAAAAATACATGGTGCTTGCTAACCTTCGAAAGAAGCCAGCAGAGCAATTCGGTTTTTTAAAGCTTTTTTCTAAAAACCACACCCCATTTTTAGACTCTTGAAATATTGTAAAACTTTACTAAAAAAATTGCTATTTTTAAATAATACAGGGTGCTTTGTTGGAACAAAGTCAGCAGGACACTTCAGTTTTTTAATATATAAAAACAACTACTTATGACACATGTTTAGGCTGTTTTAAAATCCTAAAAATGTGGTAAGTATATTTGTTTTCAGAAAAAAACTTTGAAGTCAGCAAGGAATTGCGAATTTTTTTAAAAATGCCAAATTTCGAATATTTTATAATATTGTAGGAGCCAAAAAATGTGGTGTGGTTTAAAAAAAAACTGGGGTACTTTGCTGGATTCGTTTGAAGCTAACAAAGCATCCCGTAATTTTTTATTTTATAATACTCAATAGCCTAAAATGAGACATAGCTGTTTAAACAAAAATGGTACTTTTAAAAATAGCAGTTTTTTTCGAAAAGCTCTATAATATTTCAAAAATGTGAAAATGTGGTGAGCTTGTTTTTTTTAAGTTTTGAAAATCAGAGGTTCTTTACTGGATTCGTTCAGAGCTAGTAAAGTGCTCGTCTTGTTACATAAAATAAGGCATTTTGTAGCTGGTTATATAGTTATTTTGTAACTGCATATCTAACCCTTTTATTTTTTTCAGGAGGTTGTAAACATGTGGCTTCATAGAAGAAGTGAGGAACCATCTGTAACATCTACTCAGTGTTATTGGTAATGATGTACACTTGGCTAGATTGTTAAAGAAACCTCTTCATCCACTACAGGAAAATAAATCAGTACTTTTATATTCTTAGGATTTGTATATATTTTTTATTTGTAAATAAATTGTTTTTTTACTTCATTTTTCTCATTTTTTATTAAAAGGTTAATAAATAAAATTTTCACAGATTTTTATATTTTTGTTTGTAAACAATAATTGAAGTTTTTATTAAAAATCACCAATGTTAATAATAATAACTTAAGTCAATATTATTCTTTCTCCTTTTTTAAAGCTACTATTAATAAAGGTATTACTTTAGCTTGACCTATGATCAATTTTTAATTTTGTGATATATTTGGTTTGACAGAAAAAAAATTAAAACCCTTTGACATTGGTTGTTTTTACTTAGATTTTCATAAAAATAAACGGAACTGCAAACATGTTTTACTATCGTAATAACGAATAGCAACATGAAATTTTTTTTTCACATTTATCACTGTTGTCATTTTCATAAGAAGGCACACTTTCTGGTTTTTTGAAAAAGGTGGCAAGAATTGTGATATTTTTAAATTTATCACCAGTGATACCACATGTAGTTACCCGATTTATTGGAATATATAGACTTTGCTACCACATTCAACTGAACTTGGTTTTTAATATTTATCACTGTGACATAGGCGGTTTTGTTAAAATGTTTCATTTTAAACTGCTGTAAATAGGTGCCTTTGTTTTGGTAGTTTTTGTCCCAAAAAAAATCTATGCATATACAGGTACTCATTCCTCTTTGATTTGCTCAAAAAGTTAAAATTTTATAAAAAAATTACATTGGCTGTTTAAATACTCATTATAATCCCTGAAATGTGATAATTAGGTAAATTAAATTGAAAAACAAACAAAAAAGTTTATTAAATTAATATTTACTCTTACAAAATAGGTTCTTGTAAGTTAACAAGCAATTATGCAGATATTACTAAGTAAAATTCACACACGAATGTGGTTTTAACATGTTAAATTAACTAACCCTTCTTATAACTCTTTCCACATGTATTCTTAGAGATGCTATTCTTTTACTTAATTGTACATCTTCTGGAGAAGTTTTTCCATTCTGTGATACACTAGGTGTGGCTTTACTAAAGTGCAGCTCATGTTTTCAAGTAGCTGATTATTCTGAAACCCCTATCTGCCATTATATGGGATCCAGGAACCAGTTTGTTTAAATACCCACATTTTTCCATTATTTCTTTATCACTAGTTCTTCCACAAAATGATGAATAAATTCGGTATCTTCAAAACTTTCAGGAGATTCTGCATTTTCTTCCAGAAGGGTTTTTAGGTTATACACCTAAGAATTTATAGTAGCCTCATTTTCAATTTCCTGAAGGGGACAATTAGCAGAAATTGCTGCTACATCTTGATAATCCGGTGATTTTTATTAAAAAGTTCACGAGAAACATCGCTAGTAGAAGGTTGATTTTCTTCTTTCCAAATTTCTAGGAACACTAATAAATATTTTTGAAGATGAATGTGAATCATTATCACATTCTGGAACAAAACACTTTTTCGTAGTCATAATATTTATAAAAAGTACAAAATTAAACAATCAAATTCCAAATAAATTCTTAATGGAGACACTATGATGACAGATGCCATACACAGTGCTGCCATTTTGCCATTTTCTGAATTATTAAGTGACTTTTAAAACAATGAAACTTTAAATATGGTAAAAGTTTAAACAGAAATAATACTTTCAAAAAACATTTGATGTTATATATTTAAAAGATATTTGTTTAACGATGTTTTAGAAGTCTAAAAGTAAGAAGAAGTACACAAACGAACGTACATCACTTCTCGGAAACCTTCTAGCCGGCAACGTTGTGCGCTAGCTCCTATTGGTGTATTCCCGGTGACGTCATAAATTTTAAAAAAATTCATAACTCCGGCAAATGAATAGATAAAAAAAAAAATAAAAAAAATGTAATTTTATTTTCAACTCTATTATTCATAAAAAAAATTTCAAAATTTTTGAACATGCCCCATTGATAACACCTATAAGTACATAGGACAGTCATCAGTATTTTTAGCATTCTAATGGCATTGTGGCTGTGATTAAACAAATATTTTAAGTTCCTTTGAGAAAAATCATGAAATAATCTGTGATAATGCATTAAATAGTTTTGAATTATGTTTTAATTATTCCCAAAATTTAACAATCAAATTCTGAAAAAAGATAGTGATTGTAAATATCTTTTCACATATAAAAGTTTTTAATTTCTTTCTCTTGTACCTATCAATATTCATTTCTATACCTAAGTATATAATTTTTTAAGAATTAAACGCCACTATTAATAAATAAAAATGTATGAACCATATTACCTAAAATAAAATATCAGAAAATAAAT